AATTGCATAAAGAGAGACCGTAAAAAAATTAGAAATGAGTAGTTTTTCGTAATTCATGGTTCTACTGTAAATTACTTTCATGAATAAGATCCCAAATATAGCCTCCCCCACCCCGCCATGTATTTATTATAAGAGCCTTGGTAGCGATGTTCAAATTACAGTATATCCTGGTGGAAGTGTTACCCTTGCTCCTCTGAGTACGCTCCAATGTTCTTCTTGAATTTATCAAGATGAGCGTCATCTGAGGGACAATCTGTATCCCATTTTACCGTAGTTCTTCACCAGGAATGCAACTAGCTCCAAGTAGTTTTCGGCCTTGTGATTCTCCAGGAAGACCCGAACCACTACGACAAAGCCGTTCCACGCAGCTTTCTCCATCCTAGTTCACCACTTGTGGAATTCTTTGCACTGTATGGTCTACTTTATTTGTGATCCAACAAAGACAGCGGCTTCGACTTTTGCAACAGACAGCTTAGGGAAGAAATCTTAAAGGTACTTGAAGGCGATAGGGTCCTTATCTTGAGCTGTGACAAATTGTTTCAAAGATCCGATTTTATCTGCAGCGGAGGAAACAATATTTTCCGGATGTCCAACGGAGGCTCCCATTTCACGTTGTTCCTCCTCACACTGCGCCCGGTCCGCTGTGGTCAATTCTGCCTGTCTGTTATCCCAAAGATAAAAATAACACGGAAACTTGACAAAGCCGCTTTGGAAACCCACCAGGAAGGCTACCATTCTAACGTTACCGATAACCTCCTAACCGTACTCTTCATATTTCAAGGGATCTAGCAAGACAGAGACACTGTTGTATTCCTCTTTCATCTACACAGAATGGGCTATAGGAAGAGATAGATACATGTTCCCCTTATGAAGCAGCACGGCTTTGAGGCTCTCGGATAGGGTTGTCGGTGAAAAGGCGCCAGTTGCTGGGGTTATAGGCGATTCCAATTGCCTCAAATAGACCGGTCACATTTTCGCAGAAGCAAAACCCATTTTAATGGGTGAAAAAGCTTGAAAAAACACTGGTGGCAATTTCATCTAACTCACTGCTTTAATCTCGACGTCAAAAGCTCGGCATTTTGAACTTTTGGAAACCAAAACCTATGATCAGGTCCTTAATGTCATTTTTCTGTAGTAGTATGGGTTTCTCTCTTCAGTTGTTCCTCTGTCATCTGAATCAATGACTTCATCCTATTCTGAATTGCTATCCTCTACTGAAGACGGTTGTTCTCTTTTTGAAAGAGTGTGTACACGGGGAGCTCAGGGCAAAGTGGCAGTGGAAAGATGGATGTAAGAAAGTTTGGATATATGTTTGCAAGCGTATTTTGCCAGTTCGACGTTTGGAAGGATCAACCATGTAGAAGAAGCCATTCCTTGAGTGGTCAATTGGTTCCCATGGATCTATTTTCCCCACTGTACCATCCTGCAAAAGTGCAAAATAAAACTATGAGTATAAAAATATATTTCACTCAATTTTATTCAAAATTTTTACAAAAATACATTTTTGATTTTTTTAAATTTTATTGCGTTGAATATGTACAATTTTGACTCTTTTATGACTTTTGCCAGTGATCCAGTATAGAAAACCTCCATGATACTCTAGACACAGTAGTCCAGTATAGAAAAATATCCATGCTTCTGCGGATACAATGATCCAGTATAGAAAAACGTCCATGATACTGCTGACACAGTGATTCAGTATAGAAAACATCCATGATATTCCTGACACAGTGATCCAGGATAAAAAAACATCCATGATATTGCTGACACAGTGATCCAGGATAGAAAACGCCTATGATACTGCAAACACTAATGTGCGATTGTTAGAACATATTTTTCAATGGTATTGTTTAAAAAATTAAATAAAAATAAAAAATACTTTTAAAAATTCAAAACATTTACATTTAAAAATTCTACTATCCAAACAAACCAAACTTTCCATCTTATTTTCTACTTTGCAGAGTTGTCAGGTGAAATGACCCTGACTGGGATGCCAAAATATGCCTTGTAGGACTCACACATTTTAGCAGATGTTTCCAGAGTATTTTTTAATCTTGTCTTGATAGATTCACCACAGACATAGCAAATGCGTGCAACCTCTTGGTGTATCCTCCGGTGCATTCGCTGACGAATGCATCTATCAACGACGACTTGTCTGCACTTAAACGGAGAGAAGTAAACTGAACTGTTGAACTTACGTTCTATGATTTCAAAACGTCCTACAAAATCTTGAAACTCTTATGAAGCTATCGAAAGTTCTTGAAACTTCTAGAAAGTTCTATAAAATTCGCCTGCAGCAACTCAGTGCTGAATTTGTCTGGAATGGAATGGAAAATTGGTCAGTTTCAAAACATCGATGTCCAGGTCACAAAAGCTTTCTTCATTTGCTTTCTTGACAAAAGCATTTAGAAAATAATACTTACTGACCATAGTTCAAATTTTGTTACATTTTGTAATCTAAGGCTTTTGCGAATGGTATTTCCATATGTCTCAGTGATAAAATGCCAAAATGATGATGAACTGTTCTTTATTGAAGACACTGGTCATCACCAAGGTTGACAGGGAACGATAACTTCTAATTTCTTTTCAGAAGTCTTATGTTTCTTTATAAGGAAACGGCCACTATTAACATTACCATATTCGCGAAATCAACGATATATACTCAATAAAATAACATCAATTTCTGAAAGCAGTTTCATATTTCTAACTGATGAAAACCAATTACTTTCAGCCGTACTAAATAAGTTCCGTTTTTTAAACAAGTTTATTTAATCTTTGAATATGCTTTTTAAAACCAAGTGGCATCAAACTTAAGTGATTAATCTGACATAATTGTAGAAGTAGTTTTATTTTTTCGGCGGAAAAATTATTTAAATTATTATTTAAATTAATAATAACTTTACTTGACTTATTGAGTATTTATTAGAGCAATAAAAGCAGACATTAAAGTACATTTCATAACAAAAACGAAACAATTCATAAGAAAAATTGTTACTGTAACTTGATAATACCGAAATATAATAACGGTTAAAAGCAGCTAAACCTGTTTATCAGTTGGCTTTCATCAGACCAAAAGTCAAGGACAAAAAATGTGCACAGCAACTAAAAGACAGCAGACAAATGTTATATGCAACAAAAAACATTAAACACATCAAACAATCCTTCTGCATACAAAGAGATGGATGGCTGGACTTAATCTATAATGATTCAAAAACTTTCAAGTGTTAATCGATATTAGCGTTACTCAGCACTGAGAACATTTTCGGGCGTTTTTTTTTTTTGGTTTGTTTTTTGTTTTACTCAAATCTTCAGTTATCGCCTAACCTGATATATTAACACGTCTATGTAAATTTTCCATCTTTTCCTTGCGTATTTACTGTGATTTTATAAAATTCTCACACTTGCGGTGTTTGAAGATGAAACTTGTTAATGTATATATCCTGAGTTCGAATGGTTGTCTAAATTTCAAAATACTATTGACGCTGGGTGTATATTTCCGCTAATTGAAAAAACATTTGATCAGTATCTGTCTCTAAGCTAACCCCAAAACGCATATGTTACCATAGAAATTGATACTGTTAATGAAGTTAGATCACATCCAAACAATAAATGTTAAATTTTCTCCAAATATTAAATTTAATTATAGTTTAAAATGAATGTTCTCGCTTCATTTTTGCTATGAGAAATACACATATTTTTTTTTATTAATAATGCAAATATTTTCTTCTGTGTGGCGTGTCCTTTCGGGATGTATGTAGTGTATCGTGGTTCACTGCAACTTCCTTTTATTTGTGGCTCTTAGCAATATTTGTTTTTGTTATCTTACCTGTTCTACAATGCATTTACTCATGCTCGTTAGGTAGGTTACTCGCATGTTTCCCTCTGTCTCTCTTGCATACGCAGAAAATTACTTTAGGCTATCCCTTTACGAGCTCGGTCATGTCCTACTGAGATATAGTTGATCTGTTGTACATAATCCTGCGAAGCAATAGAAGGGCTGGCAAAATTAAATAATTTATTACAATTTTTCAACGTTACAGTGATCATTTGATAGGGCACGGCTATTATTTTTTAAGTTATATTCTTCACAGTCCAGTTGTTTTAAATTATTTCACGCCAAGCAAATGGGTTATTGAGTGTGAGAGAATATGACAAAACTATTATTAAGGAGAGTGGACAATAAAAGAACAAGAATTAAGATGACTGAAGATAATGATTGACATTGCATTTAAAATTCTGAAGATCAACGTTGACTGGAAAGCAAGAAGTCTTAAGAGAATTCCACAAGAGAGAAGTGCAATAGAAAAATAAAACTTACATGTAACCATTTCAACTATAAAATGATGAGACCTTGCCGCTAATCTAGTACTGTGTTTAAATTCATAATGTCTGGGTACCATAGAGGAAAGTTCGCCAGAAAAAATACCATAAAAATATTTATAGAAAATGCACAAAGAAGCTAACGGTGTTGGTAGCCGGGATACCGAATGGGGACATATAAAATTGCAGATTCTTCTTTGGATTTTATCAGGAATCTCTAAATATATAGCACGACACAGTGAATGAACTTTCTTAACCACAGAATTAGAAATTGATTCAATTGATTCTTTCTATCTCCCGTCAACTGAAAACCTTTGTCTGAGGAGGCACAATGAGTCACTCTCTTGGAGGGTTTTTTCAGGAATAAAATAATTCCAACTTATTTTAAAAGTTGAAAATTCCCAGCGGCATGACTATTCTAAACACAGCTTACATTTGGATCACAATGTTAAATTTAGTCCTGTTCGATTTGCTTAAACTTTCTGCTTGCATACCGGACAGCCAGACGACAGAAAGATTATGGCTTATAAACGTTTTATTAAAACAACTGTGCTTAACTATAGCAATACCTACACGATGAGAATATTTTCCATCAAGCCTGAATTTTTGGGTGGCGACCTCCAACGTTTTCGGGTGTTTCTTAGAGTTCCTAAGAACATGGCCCCCGACGTCGATATTACCAAACTCGCAAGGAGGCGGGCCATATTATACTTCCCAAAACAACCACCAAAATAATAACGGCTAAGTGGTGTTACTTTGTAAGGCGGCGCCGCCATCCTGATTTTCTTAAGGGTTTCTTGGGGCTAATGACTAGGAAACCTGCAGAGCTATGCTGTCTTTTAAAGATCCCTTTAAAAGCGGTAGAAAAATTGAACTTTGTTTCCGTTGGCCAAAGAAAAGTGCTTGTAAGCTACTGCAACAGGACGAAAGGGAAGGAGTGGTAAACAGCTGCATTGGAACAAATACTTGTGTGTCTGTAGCACTTGAAAATATATAAAAAGAACGGAAAACACGCAAAAAGAATGGTAGGGCTGCACTTATTAGTTTATAAGTTTCTATTTGGGTACTTCGGTGCCAGACCTCTTGGTGCCCTTCAAGAATTCCTTTATTTTAGTGGATATGTAAATGGATTACAATAATAACAAGCATTTACTGCCACGTGTTTGAAATATCTTCTAGAGATATGAGACCGCCTCAGTGGAAAATACCAAATCTTTTATCAACATCTGATGCCGTAACCAAGTAAAAAAAAAAAATTAATTGCCATGTATTTAACTCCTTATAGACCTTTATAACTTGCTCAAAGCGTTATTTTTTATCTCATTATTTGTTTTAATCATTTCACCACAAGCACGGTAATAAGGCCACTAAGATGCTTACGGAGTGTGAGAGAATAGGAAAAAAGAAAGCATTATTAAGGAGAGAACAATAAATGAACATGAATTAAGAAGAACAAAAAAATAGGATTTATATTGCATTTAAATTTTTGAAGATCCATCTTAACTGGAAAGCAAGAAGCCGGAAGAGAGTTCCAGAAAGTGAGAAATGCGAGAGAGAAAAAAAAAGTTTCGCATAGAACATGCGGTTACATCTAGCCATTTCAACTGTAAAATGATAAGTCCATGTAGCCAATCTAATAAATTCATAAAATCTAGTTACCAAAGAGGAAAGCTCACCAAAGCAATTAGCGTCAAAATATTTATACAAAAGTCACAGGAAACTTACATTACGGAGGTAGGAAATTGTCTAACGCCGAGACGCACGGTCGGGGCAAATAACACTTCAGATTATTTGTATTTTATCGAGAATCTCTAAATACATAGCAGAAGCATATGACCACATGTTCTTCTGATGTAAGTCAATGTGTTCAAGATTAAATTGGTATTAACCAAACAATGTTTCAATATGATACTTTTAACATATTATATTTTCTAATGAAATATATTGATAATAACGCGTTTTAAGAGTGTCTGGATTTATGATGCAGAGTGCAATATAAATTTTATTTGTGAAAAATCCAGTAAATATTGACCACAGAAACATATATTTGATAAACACAATATCTAATATATCAAAAAATATTAATTCATTATTTTACATCTAAATATAATAATTCTATAACCTTTATCAGTCTGTCAATCATTGACTTTGTTAACTTTTCTATTCTTTTTCCTTTAATGTTCCACGCAGAATGTTTTATTTTTTGGTAGATATATTCTTCGTTTTAATATTGTTTGCCATGCTTCTACACGGCTCTTCTTATGATAGACCAATTTTTTTACATTGGATTCTATAGAAAGGCTAGTAAGTATTTTGTTAATTAGATATCTTTGTAAAGGTGGGCAGCTTTGCAAAATGAGAAGGAGTATATCTTGCATGAATAGATGCTAGTTTGGTGCTTCTTAGCTGGTACTTATATAATATCAAACACGTTTTACCAAAGAACGTACAGTAATTCTGAACATTTATCTTTCTACCATCATCACTTTCTCCAAATATTTTTCTTGCAGATGAATCCAATTTTATTGTTTGAAATATTTCTGAAATTTACTTTTGCGACATTCTTAAAGTGAGTTTTTTTTAATCTTGTCAATATTACAATTTCTTTTTCGATTGATCTCTGATGTCTGTTCTACTTTTTCCAACACCATTCAAGTTGTGTTCCCAACATTCAATAAATTTGTAACATCTTTTTTTTTTTTTTTTAAAGCAATATATTTCTTATGATCAATAGCAAACTTGATATATCTGAAATTAAAAGAATATCAATAAATGTATTACTATATATATGTATTTACAATATGATGACCCACCCTCGAGTTGTATAATAAAATATCACACTAGCAAAATAATTTACTGCACATATTTATAATTACGATAGATATTATAAGCAAGAATGGCATATCTTGTATGTATGTACGAGGCTTGTTCAAAATTTATCCGAACTGTTGCTATGGTAGGGAGTTACAGTACCCAGATTGAATTCGCTTGACACAGATTGACATTGAACTCGCGCTTACACATAACGTTCCAGCTCACTTCGATCGTTTATAGTAGTGACTGGAAGGAAAGTGTCTAGAGAGCGTAGTGTCACCACACCACCGAATCTCCATTAGTGACCATGGCTTTTGCAGCAGTTTGGGGCTAAAGACAACATTCCCTAGGTCTGACAGCCACCATATTCCTCAGATCTCACCCCTTATTCCTCTTCAAAAATCAAATCCCACTTCAAAGAAACATGCTTTCCAGACGAGGCACCTGCTCGCTATACTAAATAGAAGTTCCTGGATAAGGTGTGTAGCCTCAGAAGGGGACTACTCCGAAGGAGATTAAATTACGAATTGATATGTATTGTAGTTTTCTTTTTATAGCACCAGTCCCGATAATTTTTGATCAGATCTAGTATATATTTATCATGTAAATATAGCCAGAAACTTTATACCAACATTAGCTGATTAATACCAGTTTTATTTTAGTGATTTTCCACGCGCATCTTGGATGTAGCAGAAAGCTGAAAGTAAGGGGCACCCAGTGAGGATTGAACTCACTACTCAGTCGTAACCAGTTTTATTGTATAAACATTGACTTACTCTGACATTGTAGAACTGAATCGTTCTCACAATGCCGAATAATTATGTTGCTTATTATTTTAAAATATTGTGTAAGGGAATTTTTAATATATTAGAAAATAAAGGTTATTTTCCTGATATATTTTATCGACATCTCCCAAATATGGGCACTTTTCATAGCGTTATAATGAGTAAGCTAATTTCGTAAACCACACTTTAATGTAGTGAATTTGAGCTAACTCTTGTTGTAGTCTTATAGAAAACTATGCAAAGCATAGTAAATATTTATCACTAAAAGAAAACTTGCGCAGCAGGTCTAGTGTGATGATTAATAAGCTAATTTCTCTATTAACTTTAACATTAAGATTGGTTTTCTTACGCGTTCAAATAATATGGCCTTGATGCAGACTAAAGTGTCGCTTTTGATCAAAGATATTTTAGTTGTATTTATTTTATCTTATTAGCATGTCCAGTTATGTACTAACCTAGGCTTAGTTACTTACTAGTAAAACATTAGATCTACCAAAATATCTCTTAGTGGTTGTACTTTTCTTTTGGCGCCAGTTATTGTTCCAGTCAGTATTTAGAACATTGACTTTCAAGTGTTCTAGACTGTCAGCGTTCTAACATCTTCCTATCTGTTACTTTTTTCTACTTGTATAAGTGCAATATCGACGTTGTAAATCAACCCCACTTCGATATTCATTCAAGCTCAGTGTTGTCTTTCATACGTGCATAGACAATTCTCTTAAAATGTTAATGAAGTGATGTGCTATTTGCTGTGTTTAACGTCGTGTGATAAAAAGGAGAAGCCTTGATTGAAGTGGGTGGGCCAACAATAAAGGTATTTGACTCAAAGAGAACAGTAAAATGGTGCTCTTGTCAGTGGCATTCATTTTTTATTGTGAGAAGCAGACTTCGTTTGAGGGAGCACCCTGAGAGATTATGATCATAAGTTATGTGCGGCAAAAATATTTTACCGCGGCTGTCTTAGTGATATACCGGATATTACTGATTTCAACTACATTCTAAGGTAAAATAAATAGAAATATATGAAAAAAATCGGAAATTAGCTTTCTGTTTCGGGGTTCTTATGTATTTTTTTGTTCTTGTTTTAAGCAAGGCTAACTATTATCGTTAAGTCACCTTAATGAACAAGGTCACTTACGAATTGAAGTCAATGTACGAATTATCTTTTCTTTTTTTCATTTTTTTTTTAATCAATATCACCCCATGCAAGGCAGTAAAGCCTCTACAACACAATGGGTTACAGGGTGTGGAAGAATTAGGGACACAAACATTTATAATGAGCGGGAAGAGAAAAGGTTAATCAGGAGGACAGCAGAAAGCGATTGACATTATATTAAAATATTTGCAGATTAAACTTGACTGGATAGCATGAAGACGGAAGGGAGATCCACAAACGAGAAGTGCGAGGAAAGAAACCCGTTAGCATAGAACTTACGGCTACGTCTAGCCAGCCCAGCTGTAAATGGATGAGATCTTGACGCCATTTTAGTACTGCGTTTAAATTTTTTTTAAAGTCTAGGTACCATACCGAAGAGCTCATCCGAACAATTACTATGAAAGTATTTACAGAAAAGAGACACAGAAAGAAAACCCTACGACGTTGGGAAAGTGAATGAAGACGAGCTGCCAGATCAGGACCAATAATATACGGACGGATTTACACCTCCAGTGTCGGATCCTTTGGTTACGGCGCCAACGGTGACGTCGCTCCTCCTGGGTCCAAATGGCTCCAACCCTTTGGTCAGAGATCTTTCCCGACTCGCCAATACCTGGTCACTAAACAACTATACCGATCTCCGGTCTGTCTACCCACGCTGTGTTTAGATCTTGACAGACTGGGACCAGCAGGGATTTGGGCCGATACAAGTCGAGTCCGACGGGGTGGCAAAACACAAATAAAACAAAAACTCCCACGACACTAAACAAAATTTTTGATAAAAAGGGTAACAACCTTTTATATCTTAATGTCCGTTACATAAAAACAAAATTGTTCTCAATTCCCGACCCGCTCTGTGGACTATGGCACCAAGCTTCTATCACACAATAGAAAAATGTCAATTAACTTTCTAGAATCAACCCTATGTCGGGTGTGGTTCAGTTCGATACTGGGGCTAATTTCTATCGATCATTCGCAGTTGATTCTTCTCTCCGACTTGAGTTGTATTTCTTCTTCTTCG